GTGTTGCTCAGGAAGTGCTCGGTGGCGTTCAGGCAGTCTTCGTACGCCGCAGGGTACTTGTGTTCAGGGGCTAAACGGTACCTGGGACACAGAAAGGGACAACCAGAGGGACAGAAGGAAATGTCATAACTAAACACAAATTACCTACAACACCCTGGCCTTCCATCTGGAGTATTTTTTCCTTCAGAAAAAAAAATGCAGGTGTTATTATCTGCTAAAGAGTTATTTGTCCAGTGAGTCATCACTGAGGAGTGATAGCCAAAAGGATGGAGTTGCAAGAATGTAGCATAGTTGGGATCTTCTGAGAGCATCATTGATCTCCACTTAAGTGATATAACTTCATTTTTCTCTTCCAGTGTAGACAGTATCTGGCTTGTGGATGAAGTAATTTAATCAGTCTGCACTTCACCTTTACTTAGGATACTTCTCCTTATTCTCTGTTTTTCTGTGGCTGTCTTACTAGTATTTGATTTTACTTTTAGAAAGCCCTTTGAAGTTTACAGGATAATTATACCTAATTAAACAGATAATTGAATCGCCACCTTCCAAGCTGGTTTATTAGTCAGTTCTTAACACACTTGGAAGACTCTTCTGGAAAGCATTCCTTTGTCTTTGTGTGGTACCAGTATAGCTCTGTGCTGGGAGACACCTAGACCTTACCGTGGACTGTGTCTGCACTGTCCCCATGTTAACAGATTGTGGGAGGAGAAATTAAAAGAGTGCCCTGGAAATTCTGTCTGGCCACCTGGGGAAATGGCTCAGTGAGGAGGAGTTTTCCCACAAACTGCATCTCTGTGGTGCTGAAGCAAAAAGGCTTCCACAGAGCAGGAGAACTGTAACTCACCCAACAGACACCACCACCGAGTTGCTTTCCCTGGCCATGTACTGGCAGATCCTTTCATGGGAATCTGAAACAATCACAGAACCACAGAATATTCAGAGTTGGAAGGAACCCATGAGAATCACCAAGTCCAGCTCTTGGCCCTGCACAGGACATCCTCAAGAATCACAGCATGTGCCTGAGAGCATTGTCCGAATGCTTCTTGAGCTCTGTTAGGCTTGGAGCTGTGACCACTACCCAACAAGGTGGAGGATGGTCTGCTGCTCACTGCGTGTCCAGGTGCAACTGCCAGGGAAGGGGACACCCTGCCCATGCACCTCCCAACCTTCCACCTCCTCTCATCCCTCTGCCCCCAGCCAACTGTGAGCAGTGGTGGTTCACCAGAGTGCTGACAGGAAAGCAGGGCTGGATTTCAGCCTTCCCACCAGGACTGGGGGCAGCATGACCCTCAGAGCCACGGCAGGTCCTG